ATTTCACAAGAAATCCAGGCACAGAAAGGTGGAACCACATTCACAACAAGATTAGAGCAGGAGAGATTGATGTTGCATATCTCCTAACATAGGCTATATTAACAGCTACTTTGACTAAAGGATTAGCGACAAATGTGTTTGCAAGCACGTACATGGGATGGGCTTGAGAGAGATGAGTGTGAGGGAGTGATTGTACAGTCTTCAAAGGCCAAGTAGGTGATGTTGGAGTTTGTGGCCTTTAAAGGCCATGAGAGCATGTCAGTATAATAAGGGAGAAAGACATAAACCCCACTCTCTAAAATTATAACTTCAAATAACATCTTGGTTCGATAAATACCCAATGAAACCCCCCAAGTTAAACAAGAAAAGATGTTTAACCCCTTCTTACCTTTTTCATTGTCTAAATTACAGAATTTACCCTTTTTTTGTTTTTACATAACCTCATCATAAAAGTCGAGTTTGTGATGCATCTTTTACTACTTAAGGTTTACGAGTTGAGAGAGAGAGAGAAGTATTCAAGGAAGGTTGCTAGAGAGGAAGGAAGAGGTCCCTGAGTGAAGAAGAATGAGAAAGAGAAGGAGAGCTTTTCCAGGATTTAGATAACATGGTGATTAGGAAAAATAAGAGGGTAAATTCTGAAAGTTGGACAACAAAAAAGGTAAAGAGGGGGTTAAATGTCCTTTTTTGCTTAACTTGAGGGATTCCATGGGATATTTATAGGACCAAGGGGATATTTGGAATTATAATTTTAGAGAAGGGGGGTCAATGTCTTTGTCCGATATGATAAATGGTAGTGAATTATGCACTTTAGTGGGAATGCATGATGGTTGACTGACCTAGGGTTAAGAGATCTAAGGCCTGAATCATGTTCCCCTAGGCATTGACATTACCAGTGAGGGTTTATAGACGATCATCTCTTGTTGAGGTCAAAGAGATGCCTAGGGACATTTGCAGGCCAAGAGAGCTTTGTGGTCTCTTGTGTGCGAATGTAAGTTTGTGAGAGCGATGGCCAAATCCTCAACAAAACTTCCTCACAGCATGTAGATATGACACCTGCATTTTTAGGAAGCAATTCTACATAAAGATACATGTACATGTGCATGGAGAGAGCCCACTTGCATTATAATATTGTGTGCAATTGACTTGCTCTTTGGGGAGGGGAGGAAGTGTAATCCACATACTAAGACTATGATTTCCCCTATTTATTGGCCAGCTTTGACAGGCCAATCATGAGCCCTTACACATGACAGTGGGTCATGGATCATGTTGAGCTGGTTTGAGAAGACAGTAGTGGATTATGGATTGTGGCACGAGTAGAGTGCCCTAATTATCACTTACTTTTTTGACGACCCATTAGTACCAATCCAATTCTAGATGTATTTATATGTGTTAAATTTTTTAAAAAGCCAAAAATATTGTTTTCAACTAAATTTGTGGTTCTATGATTTTTTAATATTTTCAGAATTTTGAAATTTTTTTTCAAATGAATAAATAACTATTTCTAAAATTATTCCAATATGTGGGAAGTTTTGAAATTATATTTTAAAAGTGGTGGGACCCACATGGAGAAGCTAAGGGCCCAACTCCCACAAGTGTGGGGCCACATGGTGTGGGACGTGGGGCCACATGGTGTGGGACGTGGGCCCACATATGTGGCCCGTGGGCCCACAAGGGCCACACACCCTACATAGAGGGACGTTCCATGTTTCTCATTATTTTGGAAAAATTGTGTCGAAACAAATGTTTTAAGTTAGTTCGAAATCTGGAGATAATCTTACTGAATTTTTTTTTAGATATTTATGCGATCTAGGTTATTTTGACCAAATTTTTTTGTTTTTTAAATTCTTAATTATCCCTTTGTGAGAGAAAAAGAAATTCTAGAAAATTCAATACACAAAGTTTGACTCGTCAATGTCTAGATAGATTAGAAGTGGACATGGGTCAAAATATCGAGGGATAAGGTTCTCAAAATCATCCCTAAATCATGATGGCTGCTTTCAAGGATGGATGGCTCAGATCGTTTCTCTCTCACCTCATAGATTACCCAAATATTTTAGATGTTGAATTCTAGTCTGATTGGAATACCCTAGATCCCTTGAGGCCTATATAAGGATGGGAACCTCCTCATTCTCAACATACATTGAACCCTCTTCTCTCCTCCTTTCACTCTCCAAGCCATCTCTCTCTCTCTCTC